TTTTAGCTTGTGTGATGGTCATCTTGGCTGTTGTTGTGCTGCAGTGCTCTGAGTGTGATGGGAACTTGGTATGTTACCATTGTGGTCATTGTGAAGTACATCTGGCCAGACAAAGACATGAAACCAGACCCTGGTCCAGCCATGTAAGTCCTGAAAAAACTCTTGTTTTTTTTTTTTTATGTAGAAGCTGTTTTTCTTTTTTTCTTTTTTTTTAATATCATTTGCATCTACATCATTTTGCTTTGCTGTTTTTTAAATCATTGTTGTTGTTTACAGTTCTGCTTCCTGGACTGCTGTTTTCAATGCAATGCCCACAATATGCTTTGGCTTCCAGGTATCATTTGTTTGATATTGTCTATGAAATAATGGTGCGTTTTTGATGTGAGGATAAAGTATTCGCCGTCTGTCCGCAGTGCCATGTAAGCTGTGTGCCGGTGTTTAACAGCATGAGGAGAAAGGCGATCAAACCGTGGGGACTTGTCGTGACACTCAGCATGATAATCTGCCTGTTTGTCTACACAGGAACAGGTCAGTCCATCTTTTACGGCTCCATGTAAGGGGTCTTAAACCTATCTTTGCTTTGACCTTTCAGACATCAACCTGCTGCCTTACATGTTTGTGCTAGATTCTTAGTTTAATTTAAGGACCCCCATTAGTAGCAGCTACTCCTCCTGGGGTCCCTCCATAAATATTGCAATAAAAATCAGTTTTCTAGTATCTGGTATGTAACTCCTTTGTATGGCTTGTTTGTGATCAGGTGTCTGTGGCTTCCTGACTTTTGGCTCCAGTGTGGATCAGGATGTGTTGATGTCTTACCCTCCTGATGACATTGCTGTAGCCATCGCCAGGGCTTTTATTGTGATCTGTGTGGTCACTTCCTACCCTATTTTGCACTTCTGTGGCAGGTAAGGTTAAGCACAGGCATTTTAAAGCCAGTGTGATTAATGCTAGGGATGTCCTGATCTGAAATATCTGTCCCATATTGGCCAAAAATACTAGTACTGGATTTTATCAGCTGGCATCTAAAATCTCGAATGTTTTAATGCTGATGGAAACTCTCTGCTTCTGTAACTCATTGGTTCATTTTACATGGGTTACCTGTAATCATCCTTGTTTTCCCTGTAATATTACTTGAAGCATTTTTTTATATTCTGCACTAAAATAAGTCATAAAATTTGGTATGATTTGTGCAAATATATTAAGTTAATATGTGTATCGGTAGTGTAATGTAAATAATTTGCATTGGGACGTCCTAATATATGTATTCAGTTTATAAATAAGTTCTCCTAAATTTCATAAATTGTGTTTTTTTTATTTGACAAACCAAATCATCAGCCATGCTTTTTTATGAGCTTATAGTCGTTTCTTCTATAGCAGAATGAAATATTTCCCTATGAGTTTCTTACCTTTTTTATTATTTGGGTTATTGAAGAGATACAGCTTCCAGATCCTTTCCTTGGCTGCTTCTTGCAGAGCTCTGTGAAATGCTCACTCTATAAAGTTATCTTTATTATAAGTTTTTCATTTCTATTATAAAAATTATAAGCCTTTTGTGTGTTTTTTATTTATTTATTTTTTTAACACCTCTCTGTGCAAGTCCATTGTATGTCATTTGATAATTGGTATTTATGCTGACACAATGAAACTGTGAGCTGCGGTCACAGGAAGTTTGCAGAAAATCTGCTCGGAAAGGAGGAGTATTTTTTTAAAGGCTGTATAAATCACTGTTTTTTGGGGAAGTTGAGGTTTTCTATTTGACAGAAATCAACGAGAGATTAGGTTTTATCCAGTGTTTACAGCCATGTTGACTGCATGCAACCATCTGAAATTCTTATTGAGTTTGCATCTAATAGTCTGATTTCTCTGGATCATAAAAATAAAAAGTGTCACAGAGAGGGAGGCATGTCTCTCAATAACAGTACATCATGGTGCTGGAGGCAGAAGTCTAAATCAATATGAACTGCATTTCATTATAAAAGATTAAAGTTCTAAAAGAAAAAATAATTTTAAATGTTGTTTTGGAACATGGTTTAATATTTTAGGATCATCACCTGCAAGATAAAAGCTGAATTTCTCTGAATGCAAAATATCAAATATTGGCTCACCCTGTATGCTAATTATTAGAAAATGTCTCTGCTGCTCCGTTTCTATCGTTTTTGAACAGTGAAGTGAGGTGTTTTGGTGCATGTCCTTATTTCCGTTCCTGCAGGGCTGTTATAGAGGGACTCTGGCTGCGTTTCCGAGGCGAGCAGGTGGAGGTGTGCGTCCGCCGTGAGCGAAGGAGGAGGATCCTGCAGACGCTGGTGTGGTTCATCATCACCCTCATCCTCGCCCTCTTCATCCCAGATATCGGGCGTGTCATCTCACTAATAGGAGGACTGGCAGCCTGTTTTATCTTTGTGTTCCCAGGTAACGCTGAGCATCCGACGCTTACATGAAGACTGACGTTTTAATGTGGCTCATAATGCTTCTTTGTCTTCACAGGTTTGTGTTTGATGCAGGCCAAACTTTCAGAGACGGAGAGTCGAACTGCGAGGTGAGGCTGCTCACTTTTCAGACAATTGTTTTATTAAAATGGTCAAGGGATTCATTGGTATAGAGATGGACTCTGAGGACGGATCAGTCATATTCAGTACAGAGATGTTTACTGACTTGATGACCTGTTGTTCAGAGTGATTTATTCAAGGTTATTGAAAATGGAAAGAGAAAGGTGCATTGGAGTACCGACTCCACTGCATATGGGGACATGGGGTTTAGCTCCTTAAATTCCGTCTAACCTTGGCTAAGTGGCAACAGTTTGTGCCTTTGGCTTAGGTCTCTTTAAAAACCCTTTTTGTCAAATTAAAGTCAATTTTGTTAGAAAATCCAATTCCGAGTCTCAAGGAAGAGAGAGTGACAGAACTGGTGTTACCTTAAGGTACACTGCTGACTTTGTGACCTAAAGAGTTGACGCATATGATTTAATTTAAATGATTCCCAGGCCAATATACAGCGCTTGACACTATCAATGCTATGAGCCGAGCTCCCCTCTTGAAATACCGGCTATGTAAAAGTTTGGAGAAGACGCACGGCCCGTCCGATGCCGTGTCTCTCCACTGGAGCTTCGCCGCTGATCCTCCTCGCACTGGCCTGTCACGGCAGTGCTCTCCAGAGAGCAACAGCATTTTTCATGTCCTGAGAGCTGAACCTAGATGCCTAGCGCTGTCCCCAAAAGACAGGGTTGGCTTGATGCGAAAGTAACAGGTCTAGTGCCCCTAGTGACCAAAAGTTACCCGGTGTGCCTTTAAGGCCAACAACCAATGTACCACATCATTGCAATTGCCTGACCAGCTATATCTTCTGACTCAAACTCCATCTAGACTCTCTATTTTCTTAAGAAAAAATGATAGACTCGAGGCTCAACTAGCCTCAGGCTGCTGAAAAGCAACCTGGTCTCTTTTAAAACCTCAGCAGTGAGACAGGCTGACCTCCATGCAAAGTCTAATTTTCTGAATATGTTGACTAGATGCTGAATTGTCTATATGCATTTCTGTTTTTAAAATCTCTTTATTCTCCCAGTCTATATTAATCTAAAAATTCTGGTAAATAATAGTATGAAAATAATAGTGTAGTCATTGGACATCAAATAATGACGAACCTCATCAGATAGACACCCGCCTGGTTCTTATTCCTCAGTGATGTCAGTAAACTAATATTTCACACAGACAGGAAATGTTTTCCAGGGATCCTCTTTATCCTTTGCAGCTAACCTCAATATAAGCACAGAGCAGTAACAATGCTGTATTATTCCAAAATCTAACTTAGATTCATGTTCAAGTTTATGTCCTGTTTAATAGTCATTTATTATAAGAATGTTATGTAAAGAGATCACTCCAGGAAAAAGAACTGGGATTAAACCCTGAATCTAAGCACTTCATTACAATGGATAAACTGGTGTAGATGCTCAACACATGAATATATTTAAGCATTTCAGTTGCTGTGAGCAGTTCTCACCTAAATTTACTCGAAGGGATACCTTACTACTTTATGTTTAAAGCCTCTTTGTAAAGGTTTTTACCTTTTTTAATATATGTTATTAAATGTTTTAATGATTAATATGCACCTACATGTTTGGGTTTGTTATTCTAGCTGCAGCTATTGGCTGGGTTGTTGTTGTTCTAGAGAAACTATTTGGCCCTCATAGTCATTTATAGGCAGAAATATACATATATCTTAGAACTTGGAAAAAAAAAAGCAAGTTATTTTGTTAAAGAATTATCTTTGACTTCAATATCTTTGATTTATATTTAAAAGATAATTAACACTTTGTTAAGGCATATTAAATAAGTTTAGATTTAACATTAAGCCATTTTGTATCTAAATGTCATCTGTTTGGTTTTTACAGCTGGCATGGATTGGTCATCCTCGGCATTGCCATGGTTACGCTTGGAGCTTTTATCTTCGGCCTCACCACTTCCAACTCCATCTATCAGGACGTTGTAAACTGAAGGGGACACCGTTTTCCTCAATAACAAGGAGAACTCAGAACGGTGCTGCTAATCTGGAACGCTGCTCCATTCCCTAAGAACTGGGCGTTTGGTCAGCTGACCATAATGCCAATTGAGCTTTTATTTTTCTCAGTTTTAAAGACTTTTTTTATTTTTGACATCTTCCTTCTTCCTAGAGGAAAACAGACTTTCCTGTGTGTATAGACATTGCACCAATAATTATATCCTGTACAGTTTACAAGACCAGAAAGACTCTGATAGGAGGGTTTTATGATCAAATGAATTTTATTTATGGAATTGTACCGATTTATGGGTTTTATCCAGCATGTCATAACAAAATATTACAATGTTTCCTTGCTCTGGTCTATAATCAAATCCAGGTAAATCATGTGAAAGATGAAGCAATATGTGCAAAGGTTAAACTTGAATCAGCCAAAGTTGAACTGTGGAGGCAAGACTAAGATGTTTTAAATGTGTAAAATCATTTATGTAGACTTTGTTTTGGGGTTGTTGTTTTTTTACTTTGGGTTACACTTGCACAATTAAGGAAAAACACTTGAATTTAAAGTTGTCCGTGTTCTCAGGAAGGCTTTAAAGGTTCTGTTTAAAGTTAGTTTTCACATTGTTCTGTGGTTTAAAACTATTTAATCAAGTGAACAAGTATTTCACAGGTTAATGCACAACTAGTTAACATGCTGAGGGCATTTAATACTTATCTTTGGGGGTGTGAGTTGGACACCCCTGCCTTTTAATTTCAGAGGTAAATCAGTGTTAAATCAACCTTTATAGAATGTAACAAGAAATTATGTTTACTGTGGAAAAAACAAGGGAAGAAATCCTAATTTGTTGGACATTAAATGGTGCACAGCACTGATGTCTTTGGCTTTAATTGCAGCTTTTCTGTTGTATTAAGCTGTAAAAGGGAGCTGTATGTATAAGGATATATATCCCTGTTAAGACTGTCATCAACTTGGAAGGAATTTTACTTTTGCCTTTATTTTTTTAAATGTTAAAGGGGGAATGCTTTGAAGGGAGCTTTTTTTAATTTTTGTAAAAAGTGTATTTGTTGCAATCAAATGAGTATTGGGCTGTATTTATTCAAATCTTTTTCCAGTGTAGCTGTATAGTTTTTTGTATAGTTTGGTGCCTAACTATTTGGGACGTTTGTAAATATATATTGCCCAAAGCATGTTAGGTGCTTTATCTGATTTCTGACTGGAAAAATCAACACTAATCAAGGACTATTGTAGAAGTTGCCAGACCTCTTTTTGTTTAGAATTACTGGCAAATGTTTTAATGCAATGAACCTAATGGCATGTCAAAACTGACAGACAAAATAAAAACTAAGTTCATTGTTTGCCACCAATCAGAGTGTGACTGGCTGTTTTGTAAAGGCGGTAAAAACACCTGACTTTTTATTGGTTAGAAGCAAAACGAGAGCAAATGAGTCAGTTTAGTAGTTTTAATAAAATGGTTTGGAACATTAGTTTGAGTTTTAATGTCAGCTTTTTGTTTTTTTTGAAACCACAGCAATTATGCATCGCAATATATACAGTAGCATTAGTTAAGCCAAGATTGTGAAAAGTAGTGTTCATTCCACATTTCATGCAAATATTGGTGAATTTAAGTGCTTAAGACTGATATTTGGTTCAGATAAAGTTGTATTTCTGATATATAGCCTTTTAATTTCATGTCTTGCAGCTTAAAAGAAAAACTTTAGGCTTCTGAACAAGTAGCCCTGAAAACTCAGACCACCAGGGTTCACACCATATATTTGTCATAAATTGGCTTTTCCTTCTAATAAACTTTTCATATTTTGACAAAACACTCTAGAAACCAAGCTTGACCTTTTGTGGCTTCCCTTGTTTGTATAACTGACTGGATAACTGCTGAGTCAGTGTTCCCTGTTATCTTACAGGCCATAACATTCCCATATTAACTGTTGACCTGATCTATTTTTTTGATAAACTAAACTTTAGGAGTTTATTCATTTAAAACCATAATTACCTCATAGAAACACTAATGGATCTATAACCCTGAAATCCCACATCCTCCAGACTCAAAGCAAAGCCTACAGGCTCCGCCGTTCCTCCCGTATTGCTCTGCTCAGACTTCCTCGGGGCTGGAGGAGAGCATGCGCCATTTCATTAAATTCATAGGAGCAAAACATGTAATGAACGCTCAAGTTAATATGACATTATGCATTCAGCATATGTGCAGTTTCTACCCAAATCATTTTTGTTGTGGATTTTTGTAACAGGGATTACTAGGATCCTCCATGGTTTGCATGAACTATGTTCTCCGCTTCCAAACCCAGCATCTTTTTATCCATGCCTGCGATTCAATTCAATTCAGTTTATTTCTATAGCACTAATTCACATCACATGTAATCTCAAGGCACTTTACAGTTCAACCAGATCATACAGTCAAATTGATTCAGTTTTCTAAGGAAAACCATCAACTCATTGACTCAGATGCAATCCCTCACACTATGCATGCTTGTAGTGACAGTGGAGAGGAAAAACTCCCTTTTAACAGGAAGCAACCACCACCAGAACCAGGCTAAGTGTGAGCGGCCATCTGCTAAGGCTGACTGGGGTTCAAGGAGACAGAAGCAGAGATACAAAAAGCAGCTGTAAAAGGCGGCCCCCCATCTAGGATAAGAGGTTTTGAAGTTGTGAGATGCGCTTTTGAAAGTTGTTGTGACTGGATTTGATTAAACTTTTAAGCCTCTCGGTATAAAATAAATATTTTGAAGGAGATGAGAAATCTGTTTCCTGGTATGTTGACGTACCAGTAGTTTAGATCCAATCATTTACTTAAACGGCCTTAGTTTTTGGAAATATATAAAATGATGCTATAATTTGTAGTTATCAATCCATCGTTACTATATATTGATTACTATATTTCAATTTGACAAACCGGATCTTCCCAACGTTCTTTTTCCTGTTTGGTGTGATTGAAATTGAGGATCTTGACCTGGCCGCACTGGAGCAAAAAATAGCTCTGCTCCCTATTTTGACGGTGAAGGACAGAAGACGTAAGTGGACGGAGTCGTGCGGAGAACAGGTGGATGTGGAACAGCTCTCATTGATTAACTTTGACAAGTACTCCACATTGCGTACGTGAGCGGAGCGGAGTAATGACGGAGTATTTGGAATCTGGTGGTAAGAGTGATGCAGCAGTTTCAGACTTCAAGACTGAGCTTCTGTGCCAGCACAGTGAGGTAGGGCTGAAAGGTTTGTCATTTATTTTAACACAACTTTAAAGAATATATATTAAGAGAACCCTCCTGCAAAAAAATAAATAAAATAAATTTAACAAAAAATTATTTTTACCACAATGTCTGCAATTTTAATCAACATAATTGTCTGTATTCTGCAATGTTACACCAACAATGTTACACCACTCAATTTATGCAATAGTACAGAGGAAAAAATATTTCCCATTGAAGTGACTGGAGACACTATTTTAGACTAACATACTGTTAAATTTGTGCAAATGAATTGTAAACACTTCCCCTTTTCTTTTGTACGCTTATTCTTACAGCTTGAAGTTGCTAATAAAGTTTCAATATTGCCTCTCCCTCATACCTTGTGGAAACAAAATCAATGTGAATCTAGGATTCATTATCCAGGATTTTTTTTTTTCACCCCTGAGATAAGATTAGTAATTTGATTACATTTTTGAATACATGTTCCCTGTGTAGTTTAATGACAGTCATTTATTAAGACAGGTAAAGATGATCCAACAAACTGAATAGTTTCATCATCTTAGAACCTGCCACAGCAAAATAAAAACACTGCGTGTTCAGATTAGAGTAGTAAACAACTAGAAGTGTGTCCGTTTGCTTCAGTCTTCTGCACAATGAATGATTCTTCCCTGAGAGAAAAAAATCTTGAATTGTGGTTGTAGAGCATGGAGGACTCAGTAGGGACCGTTTGTTATGAAGGACTCAAACATGTGGAAAGCAGGACCTGGCGCCCACTGAGGAACCATGTGGCCTGCACCCTAAAACACATGGACAAGATTGTATTCATACAGTAAATGGAACACATCTGTCAACATAAACAATGCATACCTTAACCGTCAGGAAAGTGATGTTTCCAAACTGCTGATAGAAACCGGCAATCTGGTTGTCGTGAATCCACTTCTGGTAGCTGCTGGTTGCCTGGAAAGATTTTTGGTACCATGAAGCAGCAAATCTTTACTTTATTGACAACATCTGCGACAGACCATGGTCTGGCCAGTCTAAATTTCTAGGTCCATTTCATTGTGGGAGGACATGGCTAGAGAGGCTTTTGTTCTCAAAAAGATTTTTTTTTTTTTTTTGAGAAAAACAAAAATTATTATTTGTGTGTGCATTTCTTTATGGGTTTTAAAACCAAAATATAACCTGCCCTATGATCATCAAGAACAAGATTATTTAATGTGGCTACTAACTACAGAGCTAAGCAGAACAAATTACCGTTAGAGAACGATTGAATCTGCTATGAATCAAAGACATTTTCTAAGCCAAAACAAGTTTTTGGGCCACTTTATAAAGCTTTGAACACCAATTTTGACATTGTGAATGCAAAAAGCTTCCTGGATTGGAAGCGAAATGCTTCAAACTTGGAAAACCGAGTCTAGTGGATTGTTTAACTTTTTTTCTGGAATGACTATGACCTGGATGACTAGGAATCTTCACTGGTATAAGTTAAAGACATGACACCAAGTTTGGTGGGACAGAATTTTCATTCTTTATAAAAAACACCCAATACAAACCCAAAAACATAATTAAACTCCAAATAGATGAGATTTAAATGAAAGCAGGTCATACACAAGCTCCCACACTGCAGTGGATGGATCAAAATTAATTTAGCATTTTTTTGTAAATATTCTCCAACAGTTGCACTAAATCAACTTCACCACTAGGATGTGCTAAAGCATTACAGGGAAAAAAAAGAAAACTGAGACGAATTAATTTACTTTGGTTTCTTTTAGACAATGTGCTTCCATTCTATAATGTTTAAGGAAATAAAATGAAAACTAGCTAATTTAAAAGAGTGTATTAAAACATACCTTAAAGCCAAGATCCTCCACAAACCACTGGTCTCCTAGGAAGTTACAGGCCATGTCTGTGTCTCCATTATAGACCAGCACACGCAGGTCCAGAGAGAGCAACTTTAGATAAACATCCTTCATGCTCTCGTACAAGATTGAGTAATGGTCTCCAACTTCATCACTAAAAAAATATATATAATATAAGAACATTTCATCAACATACAAACCCACTCAAATCAACCCACAAAGTCTAAATAAACCCCCCTACATCTATGCAGAAAATATATATAAAAGGTCCCTATTTAAAAAATATATAAATAGGACAGTTTTATATTTGAGATATATGAGATGCGTGGTAAACCTTCACCATGTGCCTTGGATAACTACCTGCAAAGAGCCCAAGCTGGCAGAGTGTCTTGGATGTGCAGAGCTTTCCTCACGTCGCCCCTGTTCAGCCAGTTTGTCTGAGCAGTGCTGTTAATGCAGGGGGGGACCCCCATCAAAGAAATGGAGGACGTCCTAGAATCTAAAAGCTGCATTGGACACACTGATCAGTAAAGCTTCATGACATTTAAACTTGGAATGGAAAAAAGGTCTAGATGCAGAGCACCTTGTAGCTGTGTGGGTTTCTCTTGTAGTTCCTAAACAGATGACTCATGGCCCTTTGATATCCTTTGTGGTACGCTCTCTGCCCCTCGCAGTCCAGGTAGAGGGCATACTCATTGAGTCCACTTTCATACACAATACCAAAAGCTACATTTACCTAAAGGACGAAAAAAAAAAAAAAAAAATGTTTTCTCCTCTTTTTACAAAAGGATCTTTAGTTTCTGAAAAACTGTTCCTGCAGGAAGGTGCACACATACCATTGTCTTGCAGGTCTCAGAAGTACTGTTATAAAAGTTACAATTCTCCTTATCACAGCAGTTCGTATTCAGATCACGCCACAATCTGCACATAAAAAAAATGTCAGCAGTCTGGAACAGGATGGCTGTCATGTGACAAAACACATGTAGCAGGGGCAGAGGAACACCTGCTTCACCGGACATTTAACACCTCATATTTAAAGATCATATTTTGGGACATTGGGTTTTTTCCAGCTGATTTTTTTTTTTTTTATTAGTACATTATAAATAATTACTTGAACACCTTATGCAACTGGAAAATATCTAGACTGAGCTAGTAAGATGACAGTTTTGTTAGCAGCTAAATAAGGCTCATTTATATCCAGCTTCATTTTAGGACGATGTAAAGTTAAGCAGATTTGGTCATCAGCCTGATATGTCTTTTTTTTTTCTCCTTCTAAAATCTGATCTGTAAATAGGCCTTTCCTCCTTAACACGTACACAGCTACTCTGAACCCACTTAAGTGTTTTTTCTCAAGATACTCATGCATTTTATCCAACAGCACGGTAAAGTGTTTGGTCTGAGCTGCACATGTTTAAACTAACTAAAAGGGGAGATGACCTAAAAAGACAAGTACTGCAAAACCAAATCTAATTTAAAACATTTGATATCAACGCTCATTACCATTCATTTTAGGCCATGCAAATCTTTAATTTCTAATTTACGACCATGCTGGATAAATAGCTTTTTTTTTATTTAAGAGCGTCTTGTGAAACAGAGTTTTAGGCATGGACGGATCTCTTCAGAACATGTGAGGAAGCTGCTTACACTTCTCCAAACAGGCCATGGTAGTAACCGAAGTAGATCAAAGAGTTATCATTGAGAGCAAAGCTGCTGAGACCATTGCCCACTGCAAAGCCCTGAAAAGACAGAGTTAAACAATAAAATAATATGCCTTCTATTTTGATAATTATGGCATTAAGCTTAACAAAAGATCAGTTTAAGAAAATTATATCACATACAACTAATAATAAATGACTAAAGCCCAAATAAAATTTACACTATTCAGTGTTTAAGTACTGTTTAGATTGTAAATCCATCAAATATAGGTGGAGATTCATGACTCCAGCAAATCATTGAATATCTAAGCCTTTCTGCAAAGGCAATTACCCAAAGATACAAAGACAACACGCTGCATTTAAGGACAGTTTTACCATTTATGTGATAAATATCTTTTCAATATTTCATGGGTTTTCAGGCCAAAAATGAGCATCATCACATTTCTCAGAAAAATGAATGAGCTCTTAGTTCTTTCCTCCACTTTTATGGATAAACTGATTAAAGCTTACAGGAAGACTAATGATTCTGGTGCTCCTTTGCTTTAGTAGAAAATCCCCCTGAACACTCCCTGCTTATCCAACTCAAATGACCAACCTCCATCCATAGGATGCAGTCAATATCTGCTAAAGTTGGACTCGTTTTTCCAGTGCTTAGTTCTGTTTCTTTCCTAGACATGACTGTGCTCCTTTTTGACAAGAAAACTAGCTCAGAGCTCATCTGATTAACAGTTTCTTTCCTAGACAGAGTCACCTATTGGAGCCATTTCATCTTTTCTAATATAGAAAGTATGTAAAGTTCAGCGCTTATATGTTCCTTTAGTGGATCTGCTTCGGTCTTCTGAAACTCCCAGTCCTCAGGTCTGCAGAAGGTTGCTTAACACCAAGCCAGGTTAAACAGGAGGTTTCTTTCTGTTCAAAGGGAGTTCCCCCCCCCCCCCCCCCCCCCCCATCTACTGTAGCTGCATGTATGCATGATAACTGCAGAGTCAAGAACAATGTAAGTGAATCTGTTGCTACCACATCCAGAAGAAATATTGCAAAGTCAATGACTGATTCAGTAAGCTGGGTTTCAATAGATGGAACAACTTTTAAACAACCCTCTGGGTTATTGTTTCAATTGTCTGTTTTCTGCCTTGAGATGACATGTTATGAATGACACTATATACACATGACTACAAACTAAATCAATGAGCTTATACTGGAGTCAGGAAACTTACAGCAGAGATGAAGCCGAATACCCCCACAAGGACCAGGGTTCAAGAACACTGCCATAGAGAATCAATTTACTCATGAACATGATAAGCCAAAGGCTGCCGTTAAAACAGTTTGCCAAACACCATAGAGGCCACTGATGCAGCGATTTATGCAAAAAGGATCTCCCATGAGGCACTGAGGGTATACACTACATTATGACCCTTTCCTATAGTAAATATTTCCTTTATGTCATTTTCAAATTTGATGAGGCTGAAATAAAAGTTACAGCTGCATGAATTTAGATTTAAATGAAAATAATTGTACAATATGTAAAAATGTTTCTATCTGCAACACAAACCTTGAAGTTGATTTTAGCCTTTCCTTTGGCCACACGCAGGCTCAGCATGGGAGCATAAAAGCCTCCGTAACTCTCCCCAAAGATGAAGAACTCGTTCTGGGTGAAGTTTGGGAACTTGGCAAAGAAACTCTGAAGGGCTTTGTAATTATCATCAGCGACCTAAGACAAGAACATTTAACACACTTCTGATTCAAAACCGTCCCAAAGTGTCTGTAAGCTCTATGTTCTAAACCAGAGAAAACCCAAACCTGATCATCGTCTGTGTCATATTGCTGGGAATCAGAGTAGGAGTATCCAACTCCTGCAGGGGATTCCAGGTACAGCACATTGGCGATCCTGTTCCAGCTGTATTTGTTCTCGTAAAGAGTGGCTCCATCATCATTAACCTGCAAATCAAATGCCAACGACTTATAGTCTGCCTGAATAACCTGTCCACATGCGGTAAGATTTGGAGCTAGAATGCTCACATGAAATGGTCCGTTTTCTGACAAAAATCCATCCAGAGAGCTGCAGCCAGGACCTCCGTTCAACCAGAGAACTAGGGGGTCTTCGGCCGGATTCCTCTGAGAAGTAACAAACCTGCAGGAAAGACAAGCTCGTAAAGCCAGGATTTATGAGCACATAGCACTAAATAGACTTACAACTTTAAACAAAATGCAGGTAAAATAAGCATCTCTGATGAATATTAAACGTTCCACTTAAAGTTCTTTCCTTACTTCTTGGGAAAGCTTGGATATTTCTTCTATATTACAACCCAAAGAGAGGAAAATCCTGAGTCTAAAGTAAAAAAAAAAAAAAAAAAAAAGCCTTTGTATACTAGGTGTAAAACGCATTAATCTTATTTTTTGAGGGTCAGAAGTTTCCCACCTGCTGATGTAAGGATTAAGTTGGAGTGTGTGAAAGTTTCTGTTCCTGGCCTGAATGCCGTAAAACTATCAACATTAACAATGGGCAGTGTTGACCTTGTGGTTTAGAGCAGAGCAGTGCGCTTGTGCTCTGAGAAAGTTGCAAATTTGGATCCCTCAGCCTCCACGCTGGGTTCCTGAGCAAAACCCTCAACCCCACACTGCTCCCGGGCGCCACACAATGGCAGCCCACTGCTCCCCAAGCTGATGGGTCAAATGCAGAGTGAATTTCCCCGTTGTGGGACAATAAAGGGTTTTGCATTATTTTTTTTTTTTATTCAAATAAATGCTCCTATTAATCCAAAAAAGTCACTGATGGCTGAATCATTTCCAAGTTGATCAGGAAAAATTAAAAACCCATCAGAACATCTCAGGTGGGCAGGGTTAAAGCAGGACAGATATTCAGAGTCAGATCAATACATTAGGAAACAAAGCTGTTGTAAAAGAAATCCCTCCAATCTAACACAAAGACGTTCTTATTCTAAAAAAAACAAACCAAAAAACCATACTCCTTTGTTCTTAACCTGCAACCTGAGCTAAATATGCAATAATTCTTGCATAAAGCACAGGGCCATTTTGCTCCTTTTACACCCTGCCATCAAGCATTTCTTAAACAACTTAAGGGGAAACATGTTGCACACAACAATGATGTAAGTAACATGCCTTGGGTCTTTTATCATTGCCTCAGTTTTTACAGCTGATCACTCCACAGGTTAGCTCCAACTGCATGTCTGCTGTGTGTGATTAACACAAACACATGGGTCCTTAAGCAGGCATCTTCTATCATCGATGTATTCTGCTGCCTACTTCCTAATGTTTAGACCCCCCTCTAAAAGGTAGAAGTCCCTTTCTAAGCTGATGTTCTTGGTCAGATGCTACTCAGTAAACCAATGAATGGAAGGCTGTTGATGCTCCAGATTGGACTTCAAACTGCAGCTGCCTTTGATTAGTCTGCAAACAAATCCAGGTGAGAAGCTGCTCTAAACAAATATCTTATCACATATTGACCATCTATGATCATCATGGCGATCTGATTGAAGTTTTTGTATTTTTTGTCCTTCGATTCTGAGGTTTTGATCATTTGCCGGGAATGTTTGAGGTTTTTTTTTTAATTTGCACATTTGTTCTTATGTTTTTATGAAGAAACACACTTCAAATTGAAGTGCCACTTTGTTTTTGTTTTTTTACTTATAGACAAATGTATGATCAAAGCTGTTCAATGCAAAATATGTTTTCTTCTTGGTTACAGAACATATTTCCAACTCTAAATATTTCACTTATCTCATTCACTACCAGCTTTGGCTTATTTTGACCAAGTGAAGCTTTACTTCACTTCCTTTCTAATTGTCCTCGCTATTTAAAGCCTAAACACAGCAGACACTCCTCCAGCTAAACCAGAAAGTTTGGTTGCGCGTCAAACTGTCACGTGATTTATTTTAGAAAAAACAAAGCGTCTAAAGTCAGATAACTTTTTCCTGCAATAAAATCTGGAGGGAAACAAAACATACAACAAAGATTAAGATAAAAACTTTTTTTTTTTTTTTTTTTGCAGCTTTATTGATGCGCACGCGCTCCCAATAGATAAAACATTTCCCCTCACCAGCAGTGAGCCTTTCTTACCAGTAATGGAGAAACTTCCCAGTTCCTGCCTTCAGGTATCCAGACCACTGGCTATAGTTGGGTTTGAACGTCATGCCCGGAAGATGAGTGACCTCATCGGGAGCATACTGAGCCCAGGAGCCGAGCTGAAGAGCGGATAGCAGACACAGCAGAAAACCGCGGACACACATCGTCAAACCTCAGTGGTGACTGCTGGCGATGGGCTCCAGTCACAGTCTCTTTAAAGCAGAGGTGGCTCACTGAGAAGCGCATAACAGTCACGTGACCGCTGCGAGCCTGGCCTCTACGTCACATTTCTTCTTCCTGTTTTCCTGTTTGGACATTTTTGATAAGAAGATATACATGGGATTTGGACCCGAAGTGTATTTTTTTGTAAGAAAAAACAATGAAGAAAAGCTCGTTCATATTTTTGGGGATTGTAATTATATTTTGGAGAGATATGTCATCAAAGAAATTTCAATATTACTTTAACAGATAATGATGTTTTGTTTGGGATGGAGAAATGTGAACTTTTCAAAACAGAATTTTTATGTTATTTTTTTATTTATTATTTATCATATTCACACCTCCAAACATTTACAACAAAACCCCAAATTTCAGATTTGATCTTCCATTAATATATATAGATATTGAAACCATTAAAATCATAACTGCTCTTTGGAGATTTGGTTTGGATCTGGGGGGGGTCATCCCATGTGGATTACTTTCTTGTGATTGGCTTATTCTAGGTAGCTTTGTGATTGGTGGCAAACCATTCCCTGTTTAAAGAAATGCATTTGTGTGTGGAGGCACGTCAGGAGAGTCTCAAAAATCCACACACAAATGCAGTACAGTTTAAAGACCACTGCTGTTTATGGACCAGAAATACTTTGGTGAATCTTGATCTGTGTATCTTGTGTGCTTGCATGAATCATGCTGTGAGTGTGTGGCTCTTGTAATGTGCATGTATGAATCACATATGTTTATTTTTGAAAATTGAGACTGATCTAACTCCACAGAATGTTATTTGTTTGCAATAAAAGAAAAAACATTTTCTTTTTCAATTTACAGTTTTCTTCAGACAGGGAAATACATTTTATATTTAGACTTAGTTTACAATTGATTCTGAAACACATAGATCTAAAACAGGCAGACACAAACACACACCCCTACCCACTGCAGTCATCCACTGACTCATTTATGACAGATATTTATTCATTAAGCACATCTAAAAAGTTGTATTGTGTTGTAGTGAAATGTGTGCTACTGAGTAAAGCAAGGAAGGGACATGGAGGGAGAGCCAGTGCAAAATCTTAACTATGACACTATTTAGTTATTGATGCTTCTCCTTTAATATGATCAGTCTGAACCAGATGAGGAACTTGGAGAACCTGTGGGAACTACTGGAAAGCAGGGTTAATTCCAATCATTTAAAAACTATTTCAGGGATAATTTATTAATGTATTTAATTAGTTGTAGGTGGAGCCCACTCCAATATTGGGCTACACAGACCGCAAAGTGTGCTAATATATAAACTAAAAAAAATAAATAAATAACATATATTGGATGACAAATTCATAACCGTATCAAATGAATCGAGCATGCTGTGGATTTTGGCCAAAGGTGTCAAATTTAGCCTAGTAAACTACCCCACCCACCAGCGGCCAAAATCATACTTACCTGCGAGTGGTCTGGCCTCGATCAATGCTTTCTGTTGCACTTCCTACGTCACAGTTAGTTGCGCTCATTGGTCATAGCGTTGGACAATAGGCACAACCATGGTTTGAAAAACAACGGGTTGTTCTCATCAACAATCTTTCGATGTCTCATTCATAGGGGCCAGACTAAATTACACATTTAATATCACATTTACTCTGGTTTATCAGGCTATGTCAAATTGGTTATGTGGTTCACATGGGTCGCAATTGCCAAATTGCGACACAGTACCTGCCTGCTCCTTCCTCTGCTGCTGCTCTGAATCCAACATCATATGACTGCTTCTGAGTCACGTGACTACCGCCTGACTGAACACAAAAACATTTCAACCACACCTTTTGTTCTTAAAAACTTTATTAACCATTACATTCAAACAACAAGTGTATAACTAATCCAAGAACTAATTCCTGAGACTCCCAAATGAAATGTACCCAACTAAGGACATTAGATCACCTTAAGCCAAGATCTACAGCCTTCTACAAGTGACCTACTGAAGTGAATGTGGTTCAGGTGTGTGGAGGCAAAGGCATTTATGCATTTGTGCAGCATAGACACATTTTGCACAGAAAGTTTGACAAGAAAACAAACTGAAATGGTGTATGAATGCATGTATGCATACTCCATCCCCTCCACATATATATGTCTGTATATATATATATATATATGTATATGTGTATATATATATATATATATATATATATATATATATATATATATATATATATATATATATATATATATATATAATTTAAAGAAATCAAAAAAGTATAGTTTTAGAATTAAATCAAGCTTTCTTTTCACAAAAAAATGTAATTCCAAAAAAGCTATTGAATGAGCTCATTGGGTTGAAGTTGGGATTACACAGGATATCATTCAAACGTAATTTTTAAGCCCAGTTCTTAAATCTTATTTCTTTGAAAGAATTTTCTGGGCAACGGCTAAACACTTTTTCAAACAATATTATTGAATAAAGTATGCCAGAAAAATACACATATGCAAGCATATAACTGAAAATATAAATTCTCAAACACCAGATTGTTTTTATACTTAGAAAAGGGTCATAAATTCCAATCAATATTTTTTTCTCAGTTAAGTAGGCCTAATAATAATAATCAGGTTTTATGCTGAAGTTGATATCAATATTTTAGTGGATAATTATATGCAATGAGAAATTCACTGTAACAGTAAACATTATTTATTTATCTAGAAAACATAATCGATACCTCAATCAAACTGATTTTAAAGAAAAATAGATTACAACCAACCTAAATCTATAAATACATCAGTTTCACAGACAATCTGGGTTTATGAGATATATTTTATTCCACTGAATTCAAAAGGCGAGTTTACTGTCTAAAGACTAGATTTAACCAATCAGAGCACAGCTTCCTCATTTCCTTTTTCTCTGAACCAGAATTCTTCCAATAAAATGTAAGTCGTTTGTCCACTTTTGTAATATGTTTCGTAAACCTCACTGAAAGTACTAGCATAAACCCAGCTGTTATGATATTAGGCTTTAGAAAGTAGTATTCGACCAGAGATGGACACATTTCTTAGTTCGCTTTTTTTATCAGTCGCAAGTTGTATTGAGTCCAGTATAGTGCAGGTAAATCGCCAAATCCAGGGGTGGAGCTAGATGGGGGGCCAGGGGTGGCCATGTCCACCCTTAGCCAATCATTGGCCACCCCTGTGGCCACCCCTACCATTTTTTCCCCCTCTAATACAGATGGTGGCAGCAGTAATACTCTCAAGTGGAATATTTATTCTAATTTTTCATATATTACTTACTATTTTTTTCATGTATTCATAATTTCTTGACAACAAAAACACTGCGGTTAATTATACACATTGATATACTAACATTAAAGATGACAAGTACAGAATTCATGCTCTTTCCATAACTAGATTTTATGTGATATGGAGAAAAGAGAAAATTATTTGTCTCTGCAAGTCGTCTATGAGTCTTGAGTGAAATCATAGATAAATAACTATTTTAATAAAAATGTATTAAATAATAAATTTATGTAGATATTAGTACTTGAAAATATCAATTTGATGCAGAATGATTATGGATAAAAGTAGGTAATGACAATGGAAAAGATGTTTGCCCCAGAACTCAAACCTGAAAGTATTTTATCCACTATACCTTTTATCTACAAAGCACGGATTTTTAAATATATGCATCTATTTGTTAGCAAAGGCTGTGGGAAATTATAGTTATTCTCATCTTAGGCTTGACCCTGAAGTTCTATCCACTTTTGGCCACCCCTCAGTGTACATTGATTATTGCCTGGCTACACCTCTAGCGAAATCTAGTCATAATTCTATAGTCCCACTTCCAATGTATGATTGTAGTAGTTAGGATAAACCCAAAACGTGCTGTGTGAAACTTTCACATGGAGACAATGGCAAGTTTTGGGCGAGGACAAAGGTAAAGAGAAACACCCTGGGTTCAGTTCACAGCTACACGTGCTTACTGCGCGCGCTCCCTCGTGGGGGCGCGCACGTTATTTTTTTTTTTGGAAGAAGAGCCTTGCGACAAGGTTTTCGTCGGAAACCAAATAATTCAGGAAACATTTAAAGTATCTGTGTGATGTAGCTAAAGTTATAAAGCACTATTTTCATGCGTGTATCATACAATTTGTCAGAGTTCATTCAGAGGATACCCGAACAGGCTTTTATTTTGAAGGGAAAAAATCTTCCGGTTTTAAAGAAAAGGCAGGAACTCCGCCTCTGCTTGTTTTACAGTTCATGTGCAGCAGGATGGATGCTGAAGAAAATCCAGACGAAGCGACTCTCGACCCAACACAGAAGCCCAGGATGTCCAGGAGCCTAAACACAATATCCCAGAGGTTTATCAGGCTGCTGCAAGAGGCCGAGCACGGGGAGCTGGACCTTAGATACGTACGTTGAACCTTGAACGCAGCATGCCCCAAGTTTAAACAAAGTCTGTGCTAAAACTTCTCTTTAACCTACTTTATTATTTTATGTTTGTCATATTTAGTTAGCGACTTCTAATCTAAAATAAATGGGTTGAAACTACACGTCCCAAACAGAAACAGCAGCCCACAATTCGGAAGAAAACTCCCACAATTCTGACTATAATGGAGATTCTCTCCTGTTGCGTTTCCATCTTGTTCCAGCAGCTTGCTGTCTCTCTCTTGTCTTAGTGTTTCTTTGACCCTCTGCTGCTCTGTCAGGCCAACCGTCTTTATTATGAATATGTGGGATGTATCATCACATTTATTAGGATAAATATAGTTTACTTGACTCGTACAGTTAGAATTTTGTATTTTTATTAGCTTTAAGCCACAATTATCAATAGATGCCAGAATACATGCTTGAAATAACTGACCTAACTTTTTTTTAACATTTAAATTCAAATTACTGAATTGAGTTTACAGTGGTAGTCTATGTACTTTGTTGAGATTAAACGCAATTTCTTCAGATTTTTATACATATAAATATTACACATACCTACATACATACATATATATAATATACACACAAACATGCAGGGAAAAGATTGTTGGGGCCTGTTCTTCAATAAAAGAAAAACTTGCATTGGTTCCAAAAATGAAAGTGTAGAAAAAAGAAGTTAATAATAAATGAAAATTCAATAAATTCAAATAACTGAAAGTCAGATGGTACTTCTTTGGCTCTTCACAACCACTATTGAGCATTTTTCCTTTGGATAAACTTTACATGCACGTGTGCACTCTCACAAACAACTACAGGTGTTTGCTCCAGGTACTTAAAGACTCACTTCCATACAGAAAGCCCATATTCTTATCTTCAGCTACCACAGTATACATGCCAGAATAAATAATACTACATATACTTCAGGGATGGTATCAAGTTACTACTTTATTGTATTTATTATACTATGTCGGTTGGTTGTGCTGTTCTTTTTACATCTCTTTGCAGTTGATGAAGCAGACTGAAGATGTTTTATCTCTATCTCCCTTTCATCTCTTCTTTCTTACATCATTTCTCCTTTTTTTCTGTTTTTCCTTTCCTGTTCTACTTACATTGCAGTGTCTATATAATCTGTAATACTCCCTGCGTAATCATAATAAAGCTATATATATGCATAAATCAAGCGGAACTCTATGGCTGGGGGGGAAACATTTTCCAGACGCTCCACACAAAGATGCTCAATAGGATTTAGGTCAGGACTCATAGAGGAACACTTCAGAATAGTCCAATGTTTTCCTCTTGGCCATTATTGGCTGTTCTTAGCTCTGTTTTTTGAGCTCATAATTTGTTGAAGACACATGACCTGTGACTGAGATCGAGCTTTTTCACACTAAGCAGCACATTTCTCTTGATGGCCTTAAGATTCATTGAATCCTGCAGAGATTCAGACACCCTGTGACAGATAGAGCAAAGCAGTCCCAGAACATAACAGAGCCTCCTCCATGTTTCACAGTTGGGGCAGTGGTCTTTTCTTGCACAGTAATTACCCGTATTCTTATATATAGGCCCACTAAATAATTACAAGAATGTAGACACCTGTGATTCTAATTAGTGGACACACATTGATTTAACATTTCACATCATTTTCAGTAATTTCTATGGGTACCATTATTTTTGTCCAGGCCTGTTTCATGAGTTCATTTTTGAATTAATCATTTTGTTGAAGCATCGTTAAAAAGCAATGTCTGAATTTCATTTAGTAATTGTCATAGAATTATTATCTTTCGCTTTTGTCAGATTTAAGTTATTTCATCTGAACATTATTGGTTTTTCTTTTATTAAATCAGGGGTTCCAACAATTGAATATATATGTATAATGAAACATAATTGAGAAGCTCTTTTATATCAGTAACTCAATTTACCATCTATAAAGCATTAAATATATTAATTTCAAACAAACTGATGTTTTCAAGGCTTTTTTGTTTTAATTCTAATGATGTTTGGCTTGTAGCCATTGAAATCATGATATTTATTATAAGAATTTTTTGACTTATTTAGATAATTACAAAGGGTTTAGAACTCAGGGAACTTGCCTGCATTAAAATGTGCAGGAACTGCTGTCAAGTTAACAATATTAACAAAATTATAATTTATGTATAATTATATAAAAATTATATTTTTTTAATGTAGTGGAACTGAACAATTATTTTTGTGGATAGTTTGTTGATAACGTTTTGCTGGTGACTTTTCACAGGCATTCAGGGCTCTGGGTGAGAAGAAGATCAGAAGAATCTACGACATCACAAATGTGCTGGAGGGCATCGGTCTTATTGTTAAAATATCCAAGTGCCACGTTAAATGGGTGTACGTTTTTCAACTCATTTTTTATTCTTATTTTTTCACGACTGTGTTTTTAGGGTAACCAGCCAAAACTTAAACCTTACAGATGTGCTTTTTGTTTTACAAGTGGGACACATGATGATAACAGACTCGTACGGCTGAAGTCTGATCTCCAGGACCTGAGGTATGTGGAAAGCATACTGGACCAGCAGTTGATCTTGGCTGAGGAGAGCATCAAGAGCCAAACGGATGCCTGGAAAAAATATCCTTTTGATTGATACATAAACTTGTTAGTGTTTGGCAGTATATGCAGCCGCTGTTAAAAAATAAGCATAAAATAGCCGTTTTGTTCTTTATTGTTATTGATCAGATTGTTTCATTTTAGCATTGAAGCTGGACTTTATCTCTCTACTTAATATTTCTTAACTCAAATCAACCCGGACTTATGTGACCCATAACGATATCTGCAGTTGCTTCACTGGTGAGGCCTTTTCTTCCAGGCTCTTTTGTAGAAAGACTTGACAGGGAAATTTTCTCACAGTAAACAACAGTAACAGGAAATTAGCACAGGAAAGCATAATATGTTTTAAAAAGTCAACTTGTATGATATATAATATGTCAACTATAATCTGGAGTTATATCAGAACTAAAATAAACATGATTTGGACAAAGAAGGTGTTTACAGCGATATTAAACTATTTAGAAAAGTATTTAAAAAAAACTCAGCAGGAGAACGATGAGTTCTGAATAGGTGAATTGTGTTGGTAAGAGTTGGATGATGTTTTGCTGATTCATTTGCAGATACAACCCAACTGGATGAATGTAACAGCTGAATGGGTTAAAATAATGAGCCTTTTTCTTGCTTGATATTGCATAAAAATCATTGTAATAATCAGATTTTCTTTCAGGTCACATTCTCTTGGCAGTAAAAGCCCCAGCGGGCACTCAGCTGGACGTCCCCATTCCCAAAGCTGTAAGTTCTGCTTCATTAGGAATCCTAATTGCCTCCTCCGTCCTTAAACCCTTTCATGAAGATGAGATGATTCAGTGTGCACATATCTTTCTACAGGTGCCGAACTGCCCAGCAAAGTATCAGATCAATCTGAAAAGCATCAGAGGACCTATAGACGTCATCCTTCTTAACAAGAGAACTGTCAGCTCTGACCCTGTTGTATTTCCAGTTCCACCGCCTGAAGGAATGTTGCAGTGTGCAAAGTCGGCTATGTCTGTGTCAGAAAATAAAGAAAACAATGATGGACTCTGTGAGGCATCAGCTTTTACCTCAAAAAGCACTCAGTCTGAATGGAGGACTGAAAAGGATGTGCAGCCACTTCAAGAATCATCTTTTATGAGCGCTAACCCCAACAAAAAGGACGAGTCTGTGTGTGAGTATTTATAGGGTCTTGTTAGAGCATTCACATTGAGGCTTTTCAAATTTGGTCACAGTACAAACAAACTGTATTTCACAGTGATGTATTAGGATTGACATTTTAACTGATTCTTATTTAAGAAATGTCTTGATTTCAGTTTAAATTGTGTCAGTGCATAGATGATTTAGATCTGGACTTTGACTGGGCCATTTTAGCAAGGGGAGTGGCGACCTAGTGGTTAGGGCATAGAGCTTAGAATCCAGAGGTTCTGAGTTCAAGCCCCACTCCCAAAGACTGCCATTCTGGGTCTCTGAGCGAGACTCCCATGGCGCCCCACGATGGCAGCCTACTGCTCCCCAAGGAGATGGGTTAATTGCAGAGGTAAATTCTCCAATGTGAGATCATCAAAGTTAAATTATTATTATTATGTGACATGTCCTCATCCTCTTGAAGGTGAACTTTGTTCCCAGCCTTTAGTAGGGCTGGGGGAAAATTGGACTTGCTTTTTTATCTCAATTATTCCTAGACTAAACACAAGCAAACAAACTCACTCTTGTTTTAAACGTAGCATAAACAGAAATTGAGCACTTGTGAACAATGTTTTATTTTTGATCATTTTTTCTTATACATTGTCAGTTCATGTCATCTCAAGGCATTTTTACAAAGACAAGTCAATCAGAGCATGCAGTCAAATTGTTAACAATATATTGAATAAAAACCAGCTGATTGCAATTTACCTGCAGGACACACTCCTCCTGGATGAGCATGTGGAGGCTGTAGATAATGACCTGTATTTTGATGTTCACTCTTCAGCAGTCCCTCGTGTTTTTTAACCCAACCCTGCTTTAAACTTCTCAGCAGCTTTATCAGTAAACTGTCTGCCTTGTTTTGCTAATGCACTCTAACAACCTCTATAGCATTTATGAACCAGCTGAATTTAAACCCAGATTAAATTACAAACAGGTGAAATGTATTACCAATATCCTATGTTCACTAAGATGTAGTCAGCACTATCACAGTCAAGGGGACTGGATACATTGCATGTCAGTTAATGCAGATTATTTATTTATTTATTAAAGGTTTATAACTTTATATAATTTCCCTTTCCAATTTTGTACTACTTAACAAAAATGTTTTTTTGTTCTTAGGTAAAAACAATTCAAAAGAGCTGTATAATCACATGGATTCATTTAAAGGTATCTGCTTCTGAGGATTTATTCATTCCAAGTTTGGCTATGAATATGAATGAATCATTTAAAATACTGTTTTTCTTTTGTAGATGTAATTAATGTAGATCTAATCACCCAGTTCATGCCTTCAAAAGGTAATTTCACAGTCTTTCTTTATGTTTGTATTTCTTACATATTGATGTTTGCAATAATGATTTTTTCATCTTTCTCAGTGTTGTCTCCAATCGTCCAGCTGTCGACGTCTCCATTTAAGGCATAAAGGTCACCATATTCTGATGAGTGGTCAGAGTTTTTGGGCATCAACTCCTGTATTGTGGTGTTAAGATGATGTATTTTTTTGTTTGTTGTTTCTGCATTATTGTTCTTTTAACAAATAAAGCTTGAATTTCAGAAAGTGTCTTCATCTCCAATCTAAGCTTGCACTGAAGCATAAGCACCAAACTCATGGTAGTCTCAACAGAAAGGAAATTAAATCTCAATATTAGCTTTGGAAACAAACGGGCTTTATTGGATGTAGCAATGATTTAATTTCTCCATCAAACATATTAATAAAAGCCTCATTCCCATCTCATTTGTTATTTCATAAATGGTACAGTACAGCATTAATCTTTTATTTATAAACCCAATTAGGAGTGCTAACTGCTGTTAAGCCAATTAATCTGAAGTGAAGGTTAATTTTTCAGATCATGATGTTATGGTCTGGAGAGACACATAAATTTAGCCCAGGACGTATGAAATAAGTAAACGCTTGAATGATTTTATATGATTTTAACATAAAAAGATCCTTAAATTTTATATTAACAAATTAGGATAAAACTTAGTTTAATAACTGACACAAATAAAAATTTAAAATGCTATTTATTAATTCAGTTTCAACCATCTCGCATAAATAGGACAATATTTTTATTTCTAAGGCTACTCTGGCACGTTTAGCCCTGTATACTGTGTACAAATAGCCAATAAAAGGCATAAAGACGATAAGATGGGGCTGAGAAACTGGAGCAGTCACAAAAGAAACAGATTTAAAAGACCAATAAAGCACCTGTTGCCCGGAGGATGAGTCCACCAAAAACAAATTTATCTTTTCCCCTGAGTGAGTAATTTTTAATCCCAAGTTTGACTAAACATTAAACCCAAATGGTTTAATGTTTAAGAAGCGGTATGTGATGACGTACGTACGCTACGTAGGTAAAATGTACGTAGAAGCTGGTTACGTTTTATGTTTCTGCGGTGTTACTATGGAAACGTTAGTTTACTTTGACCTGTAGCTGCAAGCTGTTGTTTATAAGAATACTCTAAAAAGTGCCTTTCTCTGTCTTAATTATCGACTCTTCGTGAAAGATGGTAAAGTATTTGTTGTTTTGAATGCATTGAAAGTCAGACTGGTTTATAAATTATTGGTAGCTCCGTGAATGCTAGGTGCTAATCTAATCAAGGAAAGTAACGACGTCTGCTCCCCAGTAAAAACTGAACCTTTTAGACACATTTTGTCTTTCAGCCGCCCAAAAAGAAAGAGACAAACAAGCCGGAAACTGCAAGGAACCAAACTCTGATAAACGGTCTCACCAAGGAGGAGTTGTCCAAGGAACAGGTTAGACTATTGTTTCAAAGTACAGGTTTGAAGGTTATTAACCTTTAAAACTATACCGTTACATCATCGGCGCTATATGATAAAAGTCATGCTTAAAAGAAAGTATAGCCTATTTGAAATCTGTGGTTTTACAGATAGTCACTTCATAATCTTTTTAAACAGTAATCTCTTTATGTTGTGCAACAGTCAAAACTATTGATCACCTTTCTTCCTGTGGAGTGAGAAGTATCCCCATCACACAATATACAAAGAGCAGAGATTAATTATTTTTGTCTTTCTTTCAGCAATTTGTTAATTTTCCACTCCTTCAAATTCCCAAAGCCTGAAATTAATTAATGTTCTATCAAAACATTTAAACACCTGAGCTGTAGATTTATGCATTTTCTTCTGAATTACTATTATTCTTCCTGTGACCTTCGTTTGCAGCAACACATCTCATCATTTTTTTTGCAGGTCAACAGTTATGCCATATTTTTTCCTTATCAGATGATTTCCTAAATAGTCCAATGTGAGATGTTAAAGGGTTGCAATGTTGTTTTGTAACATAACCCTGCTTTAAACTTCTCCACAACTTTATTTCTAGGATTTATTCCTGATATTCATAATTATAATAGAATAGAAAATTCCTTTATTGTCCGACAATGGGGAAATTGTGGTGTTACAGCAGCAAAAAGGTTATAGTAGAAGGGGTCACGCAATGTGGACCTTAGTGTATAAATATAACAAAATAAGTATCAGAATTCAGAAAAAGATTGACAAATTTTATTCAAATGTCAAGGACTCATGCATATCTGACCGATATTGGATTGGACATCCCTCCTCTGAGCTAGGGCTGTGCAAAAAGCCCTTTTTTTCCTCCATAGAATTTCAGGATAAAAAATTACAAATGATGTATTCCTTTCAAAAACTAGCTTTGACCTCAATCGTTCCTATTAAAAGTTTTCTTCTCCACTGTTACATGCATGCTTGATGTGAGTGATTGCTTAAGACTCAATGACAAAATGAAAGGGAAAATTGTCACTGCAAACACATCCAGGAGGAGCATGCAGTCGCCTGGTTATAGCCTCTGTAAAATGAGATGAAATGTGTTGTGAGTTGTTACTTTATAAATAACCTAAATTGAAATTGAATTGAACTGACTGTGTGACTGGCCATATACAGTACTGTTTAGATAGATGCTTCCCCAACAATAAAACCTGGATATCAGCAGTGAACTGATGGAACTGGTAAACAAGAAAAAGAGCCTTCCAGAATGGAGATGTGGAACTCCTGAGGAGGGTGCAGATGCAACTGAAGATCCAGATAAGAGAGACAAGGGATGCATACACGAGGAGGCTGGAAAGCAATCTCCAAGAAAACAGTATCAGAGATATGTTATCAGGGATGAAGGAGATCCCAGGCTTAAGTCAGAAGGATCATCAGTTCATGAACAAGCTCAGCCCCCTTCTCTGCTGACCACAGTCAAACGAACATCCCATCCCTCCTTTGGCCCAAAGCTCCCCCTCACATCTAAATCTTTTATCTTCTACCCCTCCTATAGGTTATCCTTCTTCTGTCCATTTGCTCTCAACCAAATCAGTAAATGGTGCTGCTGCCTCCAACTTCAAACTATCTGTCTTGTGGAGTCAAGTGAAGACGCAAATGGAGAGCTCGATTCACAATAAGGCAGCTGATCCAGCTGGTGTCAGCTCCAGAGTCCTGAAGGCCTGCGTAGAACAGCACTGTGGGATTCTATGGCACCTCTCAAACCTTAGCTTTACCCAGTGATTCGACAAACCTCCTGCCTTGTTCTGGTGCCACAGAAAACTTAGCAAACTGTCCTCAATGAATGTAGACCTGTTGCCCTGACATCCCACGTCATTAAGGTGCTTTAGAGACTTCTGTTGGTCCACCTGTGCAAGCAAAGAAGCAGCTATTAGGAACTTCTTATACCACTACTTCAACAAACCCACTGTTAAGAAAAGGCAAACACAACTATGAGGATCATGTTCTTTGATTTATCCATTATCCATTTAACATTATTCAGCCTAAATTAGCTTTGTTTTAGTAAATCCAGCAGACTTGGGTAGAGGCATCAACAATTGCCTGGACAAACAGACCACAGTTTGTGAGACTGAGGGGTCAGCTGTCCAATCAGGTAGTCAGCAGTGTAGGAGCAGCACAAGGGATGGTACTCTCACCATTATTATTTCCTCTGTACAGCTGTCTGTACAGACATCCAATGCAAGACAGAGTTCTGTCATCTGCAGAAACACTCAAATGACTGCAGTTGTTGGGTGCATCAGGGAGCAAGCTGGATGCTATTAACACAATGGGAGAAGAAGTGGACGTGGTAGAGGAGTATAAATACCTTTGTGTTCACCTGGACAATAGACTGGACAATAGACTTCTTGATAACTTTAAAGTTATCTAGAAGGGACAGAGCAGACGATACTTCCTAAGGAAGCTTAGGTCCTTCAGTGTATCTTCGATAAGTATGTTGTGGAGTTTTATCTCTTCCCTCATCAAGTTCTGGGATAACAGCATCACAGCAAATGACTTAAAGAAGCTCAACAAGCTAAGAAAGAAGGTCCGTTCTTTTTCAGAAACTTCTCTAGAGCCTCTGGAGATGTTTTCACAAAAGAGAATTCTTCATAAAATTAAGAACATTATAGATAACAGTGAGCATTCTCTTTACAAAAAACAAAATGACAGTGTCTTCAGTCAAAAAGATATAAATACCCATCTGTTGTGGTCATAGGGTTTATTTATTTTTACCTACTTTTTCACATACTATTCTGTTTAAAACATGATCTCTTTGTCTATGTTAACTTTTTGGATTTGGATTGTTTCTTCCAAATTCTGGTCTTTCAGATGGAAGAGCACATTATGCGCCTTTGCAAGGAACTAGAAAGAGAGAGGGAGGAGAGGAACTACTTCCAGCTGGAACGAGACATGGTCCAGTCCAGTCTAGATGTTACCAATAAAAAACTGGAGAAGGTTAAGGCAGAACTTAAAACCATGGACAAGGCCATAGAGGATGATGAGGCAAGTCACCAAGTAGAGATAAAGGTAAGTTAACACTCTTCTCCAGCTCAACAGTCACAATTAATGCTGGATTTAATTTATTTAGTGGATTTAGAAGACACAAATGTACAGTACTGTCTGAAAGGCAAAAAGTTTAGAAGCCAATATTTGTTGGTTATTATATTCCAAGTGCTTTACCAGAGCTTAACATACAGAAATATAATCAGTTAAAGCTACAGTGTGTAATAATTAAAGGGATATACAGTCAGAAATGTAATATATTATACATAACAATGTTATTTATCATCATCTACGAGCTCAGCCTCTTAACCTTAATATTTGCGTTGCCTTAGAATTCGTTATTTATAATTACATAGGAGCGGGTCTCGCAGCCATGGAGGCAGACATCTTTTTGCTACGGCAGCGCAGAGCCAACAAACTAGCGATTGCGAGATCGCCCATTACGCTCGAAAGTAACTACGGCAAGTTGTTTAAGTCTACATGAAATCTATACCCTACACAGACTAATGAAATACTATCTGTAAAATTATCTATGTAAACAAACCTCATCACTTGAGAAGGTAGGTGATGCGGACGTCGTGGAAGACATTTTGTCCCGTAACGCTCGCCGTACTGTTGGGGGGGAGAAGCGGTGGGGGGGGAGATGTTCATGTTGCTGCGGTCTGCAGTCTGGACGTTAGATGTCGCTGAAAATTACACACTGTAGCTTTAATTAGGAATTACTGCAGCAGATGACCAATCCTAATACAGAATATTGTCAAGAGGCTGAGGCTCACTGGCAGTCTTAGAAACCTGCAAAGAGTCCTGAACTATACCTGAATGAAAACCTTTTGGATTAATTAGACCAACTGAGAGCTGGAACCTTTTGTCCAGCGTCAGTCTATGACCACACAGATATGCATGTGGAAAAGTGGGCAAAAATTCCCATAACCAACCTCCTAAATTTTTTGTACAGCCTTCCAAGAAGAGTTCAAACTGTTATAGTTACAGAGGGTGGAAAGACATTTTATTGCCTGTTGGACTTTACAGCTTATGTTGATGGTAAGGTATCAATATTTATAGGGCATGACCTTCAAAGATTTAAAATAATGAGTGCTGAATAGGACATACAGTTGCTTTTTCAAGTGCAATAAGTGGCTGTGTTCCTGTTGATCTACTAAGATTACTGGTGTAAATGCTAAGATGTGCAAACTGGTTTGTTTTCCCACCATTAAAGTTAGCAGATTGTGTGTGATACTGGCACTTTGAGAGATGTGGTAAAAGAAAGATCAGAAAAAGACATATTTCAATAATCCCAGAGGGAAATTACTTTTGTTACACGCTCAAGATATACAAACATTTATTTATGTATATATATATATATATATATATATATATATATATATATATATATATATATATATATATATATATATATATATATATATATATATATATATATATACACACACAACAAACCACACAATATATGTATAACTATAAATCCAAATAAAGTGATGATGACGTTGTGCAACAGCGCCAGGAATAAAAAAATGTCAATTACAGAGGGGGATGTCTGAATCACTTGAGGGAGGCGTTATAGAGATTAATGACCACAGGCAGGAATGATTGTGGTGCATCTGGGTAAAAAGAGTCTTCTGCTGAGGTTCAAAGCCACATACTTTGGGGAAATAATGATATTTATTGATTCGATATAATTGATATAAGTTTAGAAAAATTATATTTTGTAATATTCATATAATTCATATAATAAGTATAAATATTTATATTTATTAATCTACATGTTTTATCCACTTATTATTCTGTGTAGATAGTATAGATCTGAAAATACCATAAACAAAATTTAAAAATGAAATAATGAAAAAAAGTTAAATAAAAAAAAAACATGATACAGTTGTGTTTGTTTGCTGAGACGGTTGATTTTTATAAACTACTACAGTCATAATATCCAACATTAATGATTTTCTCTAAATGTCTTGGCCCAATATCCAAAAAATTTTTTAATCTTGCAAATAAGTGTTTGCTTACGGGATTTTGAGAAAACAATACAAATATCAATCTCTTAAAAATAATATAACCTTTTTACTGCAATAGATAATACTTCTGTATTCATTTATTTTTAATTTGACAATTAAAGAAATTTCCAGTTCAAAACTTGATTAATCTCATCTCATATGAAACCAAAAGTAGGTAAGGTTCCTTTTTAACCAAGTGGTGAAAAAACAAATTGACTTTTTCCACATATAGGCTACTGGAAGCCATCTTCCCTTTGATTTTAATTTTTAGCGGAAAAATGATCCTGGTTCATAAGTTTATCCTTCTGTAACTTTAACTGTAGCTTTTTTAATAGAACACGTTATTCAACGCTTTTCTAGTAAATGCAGATTACATTTTTAGTTTTTGCATGTTTATTTTTCCTTTCAGGTCTTTAAACAGAAGATGAAGCACCTACTGTGTGAACATCAGAACACAATCTCTGAGCTCGGAGCAGAGCGTATAGCCTTAGCCGAGGTGCTGCAGAATGAGCAGGATCAACTGGAGGAAGAGCTGTACAAGGAAATGAAGAACATCCTGGTTGACATGAGGACATCCAAAAATGAAGAAGTTGTTAGAGAGCTTCAGCTGGTTCGTATGACATGGGCTGTGTCCAAACATCTGCCCAAGCCCCTATATAGAGCACTGTATAGAGCACTATATATGGGTTATGCAATTTTACATCAGTGTCAGAATGTCTAGTGGATGAAAAAGTTGTGGACTAATTTCCTACAATGTACCTTGAAAAGTAGCGGTCATCCATGGTCATTAAACGAGCAGATATATCCCAGAAATCTTTGGGGGATATGGGATCATGGGATTTGTTTTGGGGCGAGAGAGAATAAAGATGGCATGGTGCAGGGAACCGGAGTCATGTGACCAATGGGAAGTAAAAAGCGGTGATCGTCTGTCGGAACAGTCAGTTAACTAAGTGCATTATAAAGTCCCCACTCTAAAGAGTGGTTGAGGGGTTAGGGCACACATTGACTTTCTGCCACATCATTACTGCTGCTCATTTTATTCATTTACATTTGTCACATACAGAAGCTTAGCTAGGATTCCCTTGACATTTTAGGTGTGTGTTTAACGGCTCTCTTTTCAATTATAAGAAACATGAAAAAGAAATGGCTGCAGTGAAGGAAAAATGGGAAAGGCTGTTGGCAGGTGAGTAACTCATGTACTACCATATTCTGCAGCTCCTAAATTCAGCAATTTACTGAACTTGATTTTTTATCTCTGTTTTATTAGACACTGCGAGAAAAAGTAATGCAGATATAAAGCAGCTGCAGCAGGAACTTGACATCAAAAGGAAAAGTGAAATCTTTGCGCAAAAGCTTCAATTGGGAAGGTACATTAATGAACTTAAAGAAGACCAAAAAAGAGCCTTAAATGATGCAAGGGATTTTTTTCTGAAGAGGGACAATAGCTCCAAAATTACGGATTTGGAGGTATGTCAGTAAAAATAAATTTTTGATATGCTATTTGAAACAGATTTTGTTATTTGTAATAATCTAAAAAGCGAGAGTTCACTATTTTTAGTTACCAATTGCTTATTTACATATTTGTAAGTTGTTAAAACTTTAACCTTTATGAGTCCTTTGTCTATTTCTTGTATTTTATTCCCCATGTATTTTTCCCCATCCAAGGAACAACATTTTAAAATGACATGTCAACTGAAGCAGATGAAAGAAGAGTTGCCCACTTTATCGAAGGAAAATGAAGAACTTACCGGGCTTGTTGCAGAAGCCAAGGGGGAACTTAACCGATTAGAAACGAGAGCAAAATTCTTGCCAATGGCAAAGGTTATTTTAAGGATGTTTATTGTATTCATTTAATCTATCAAATCTTGTTGTTGCTGTAATGAGTGTGATTTTTGTCGCAATGTATTTTCCAGGGCCCCATTAGCATTCCTCAAAAAAAGGAAGTGAAAGAGTTGAGAAAATACTGCGATGAACTGCAAGAGAAATTCAATCAGGTAAAAGATGTTTTAAAATTTGTGCGATGAAATGTAATCAGCATTCAAATGAATTTCACACTTTTTATTCTTTATGCAGCTTTATATGGAGGTGGATGAAATGCGCTCGTCCTTCCCCCAGAAAATTCTTATTGCAGAGGAAAAAGCAGATCGGTCTCTCAGGCCTCTGGAGGATGAGCTGCAGGCTGCAAAGGAACGCTTGGAGAAGATCCAGGTTCAGCCCAACTTGGTGCCCTCAGCACCTAACCTGGACCAAATTGCTGTTGCTGAGATAACTGACAAAGAGAAGGTACTATAGATTCACACCTATGTGGTCTCCCTTCTTAGTTCGCTGTGAATTTATATGAAACTTTAACCGAAAAATCTTTGCTCACAGAAAGAAAGCTTGGAGGCCACAAATTCTTCCACCAAGAACCTAAAGTATAAAAGATCTCTGATTGATCAGGTCAGATAAGATTATTGATGAGATTTACAAACATAACATGCCAGTTCTTGACTTAAATTAATATATTTATGTTAAATGTCCTGCAGGTCGGCAGTGGCATGTGGCAGAGGCCTGGAGCAAATAAAGGAGGTTTTTGCAACTGAGAGATTTTTGGTGTGTTTTAACACATCATGGATCAGAGGAAAACAACTCCTTGCACATTTTGATGTCGGGTGCTAATTTGCCTCGTCAAAAGGCTTCCAGAGCCAGTCACCCAGCCTTATATTGATCTCTGACAAGTATCGTCTCCTAACTGTCCTGCTATGGATTCTTTGATGCAATAAAATATGGTTTGAATGTTGTTTAAAATGAGTATATTTGTCTTTTTATAGTGTATATCTCTTCAGATTGTGTTCTATGTCATAAATAATTTATAACCTGCTGCTACCACCGTGCCTAAAGTTTTTAAAATGGGGTAGTGTCTCAAAGCTTTATGGAAGTAAACTCACTCCTGTCTTTCTACAATACGAACATCTGTCTCAGTCCCAGAAATTAATCATATAGTTAACAGGATTTCAACAACTTCTTGCACTGAGCTTTTCATTTGTTTTATATGCTGTGAAAACTCATTTCCCCCCTAACAGATTTCATCTGCGACTATTTCCTTCTCTCAGTAAGGGGTCACATACTGTAGAACCTAGAACAACATCTAAAGTACCGAAAGCCTCCAAGGCTTCAGTTAAGATCAGAGTTCAAGATTTTACAGTGAGAAGGAGTGTGGCCAAAAACAGCCTCACTGTGAGAGTTCCAGTGGGAAAACCTGCTAACTTAAATTTAAAACAAAAAACATCATTATGACAAAATTATTATGTGAACAAATGAGAAAAGAAGAAATCTTTTGTAAGGGGTCCACTCTGTTATATCTGACATAAAACAAAGAACTGCTTATTTAGTAGGTGGCAGCCATATTATGTCAGGACCAAGGAGATTTATCATTACTAATAGAACAACAAATAAGGAAGAATGGCTTTTCATCAACCGGTGCTCATTTAGGTTATACATCAGCACAAAAGTATTTTCTGAATCTCTTGCAAAAAAGAAGTAGGTTAAAGGTCCTTCACCACAGTGATATAGAAGATGGTCAACCACTTAAACAAAATAACGGTTGTTAGGGTTAATCTTTCTGATTTAATAAAAGAGTTTGGGTACACTTTTTTTGGTTTTTAAAATAAAAAATCATATTTGTGTACTTATTTAGCCTATCTTTATATATTGTTACAATGTGATGGATCTGGATATGAACATTTTAAGTGTTCCAAAGGCAGAAGAAATCAGTGAGAGGGCTGATTCTCATTCACTGAGCAACCACATGGCAACATGTTTAACAGAGAGAATATTCTCTTTTCTGGAAGAAAATGTTTAGTTTTTGTTTTCCTAATTTATGCTTATTGTTCGCCATGTGTATAAAAAAATAAAAATCTCAACAACCACATTTTCCAACGGAGAGGAGAAAGGTATGGGCTAGATCCAGTTTCTCATTGACTATTCCCGTGGTGAATCGAGCCCTGCCGCACTGAGTGATTGTTGTTCCCTGTGGCATCAATAATACAGGAGGAAGTTATTGTCCCTGCGCAGGCCGCAGTATCACAGAGCTGAAGCAGGTGGAGGCAGGGGGTGGTCCTTTCACCTAGTCCTCTTGGGTTTCAGAGCCAGCAGACAGCGCTTTGATGCTGGGGAGTCTGCTCCTGTGCCACCGCACAAGGCTCAATTGTACGTTTCTCTGACTGAGGTATAGAGGAGTCTAAACAGTGACAGGCTGCACAGCCATGCTGACCCAGCCCCTTTGGTAAGACTACACCTGCAAAAAAAACCCACTGTCACCTGATGAGTCCCTGCTCAATAGGGGATCAGTCAGCGGGAGACACTGGGCAGTTCAAAAACAGGATAGATATCCTGGGTGTGATTAATATGATCCAGATTTTCACCTTGTTTACACATATAGCTGCGAGCTGTGACCTTCCCACGACATCAATCTGCAGACGGCCAAATAAACCCCCTAATAAGTTGTTTTAGACGCCATGTGTATTTTGAGCTGTAAAATGTTTGTTAGAAAAAAACAAAAATAGTTTATCTCCCATTTAAGGCCTCAAATAAACTGAAGCTGCAGGAACTAAACTGCAGTGCACCTCACACAGCTAAGATAAGAGGCCAGTAGTAGTCACTGGTGGGAGGGGTGCCTGTGAAAGCTAGAGAAAGTCAGAGCGGTAGTGAAATAGAGACCCACTTAGGAGGAGGGCAGCGCACCGTGTGATGGCTACAAGAAGTATAGAAGGATGCTGAAAATCAATTAAAGAAAAAAAATGGATTCTAACTACTGGTAAGTTCAAAAAGTCTATTTGCTATATCTATTTATAGAATAAAATAACTGCATATATATCTAAAATGTGTTTAGTCTTTTATGCAACATCCCTCTCTTTCAATGAGCATTAAGTTACAACACCAGATTATAGTTAATATATTTTATTCACCCTTTATGTATGCTTAGTAGCCTGGAGTGTTAAGTGGCGAGGTGATATAGAACCCAGTCATTAAGCTTTAATATCTCCACAGTGCTGTAATGTCTTTTCCCCCTCATTTAGACATAACAAAAACAACACTGAATGCAAATTAAACCAAACTTTTGCTAAATTAACAGGGACAAAAAATAAGAAAAATGTGACACCAATTCTTCGCTGCACATGCTGACATGAGATGACGATGGTGAAACAAAGGTCAGGAATGGCCGCTTTTAAATTCACAAGCATCATAGTTTGCATTGTTTTGCTTGGACATGGGACCCGTGAGAGTACAGGTGAGATTAATGACAAAGTAATTATCATGTTGCTACTCTGTGTGTGTAGCTCAAGTTGTGTCCTTTTATTACTGTTTTAGCGAGTACTAAAGAGGACCACAGGGATGATCTCCTGAAAGGGATCATCTCAAAGTGGAAAAAAGAAGCTGGTGTGCCATCCCAACCTGAAACAAACAAGGATCAGTCTCTGCCCACTTGGGTCAGAGGTATTGTTGGAGGCTTAAAAACCCTTTTTCCCACCAAGAACCTGCCTTCATTAAACAAGCCAATAGACAGACACCGTCTCTCTGGATTCCTCTACAACATTTCTCTGTATCTGCAAGAGATGGGTGCTGAGCTGGAAGATGTGCCCCCAGAGCAGGAAGAGGAACAGCTCTGGGAGAAGGTACTGCATTTCTTTCTCCAGTCTGAAGGCAATGCAGCCCTGAACCAGTGGAATGGCCGTGTACCACCCAGACCCAGCATTAAGATGCAGGACTGGTTTTTATCCCTCAGAGGGTCCGCACTGGGACTGGCTGCTTGGGCTCCTGCAGAGCCTCATCACTCTGTCAGAGCGTCAGCCCCACAGATCCTGACTTTCTTATCTCAGAACTGGCGCACACTGAGTGCTGTGCTGGAAGCTGCATTTAAGGCTCTTATCAGTGGGACTTATGGCCAGGCCAGTGCAGGTCTGCAGGGATTCATCTGTGCTCTAAAGGGACGTAGCGATTGCACCTTCAGTATTAGCTGGCTTCAGCAGCTGCTGCAATTTCTTGAGACACGCAACTGGAAGCCTGTGGTCAGTTTACACCCAGGAGGGGAACCTGCAGGACATGGCAATGGTCCGAGTGCATTTGGGCGTTTTAAGCCCTTCAGCGTGCCCCCTGAGGCCATAAGGCAGGGATGCTTTTCAGCAAATACATCAGAAGAAAGCACAATGGCAATAGAGGACGAGTCCGACTCCATGCAAAGCTTCCTGCTACTAGTTTTGTCTCGTTCAGGCGCGGGAGATCGAAGCGGGCAGCAGGCTCAGAAAAACCTGGCTCTTGTGCAGAGTTTGGATGGATTGAGGCGAGGCCTTCTGCACAGGGTGGGAAGTTCTGTCTATGGTAACCTGAGAAAGAAGGTGTCACGAGTTACCATGGCATTACGTGATGATGTGAGCAGCCTGGTGGAAGTGCCGCAACCCAACTATGATCGATGCACTTCAAACTACAAACCCGGCAAGCACACATTGGAGAGATTGCACAAAATGTTAAAAGAGATACTCATCTATCTATTGGTGAAGACTTTCATTTTAGTAATAAATAACAACTTCATAAAGTGATTGTTTTATGTCTGTAGGTCACAACACTGGATGAAAACCCTGCTTTATCTTGTCATCATGCACACTATAGCAGCCATGAGACAATTTGGCAATAATATTGATACAAGCATTTTATCTTTATCAGGATAATGTAAACTATAACTAGAAAAAGCTGTTTCGGAGAAACATCAAAGTGGGAATGCTTTTGCTGAATGAAAAAAGCTGAAATTACCTGAAAAACATATGAAAATGTGATAGGAAGTCATCAGAAACTTCAAACTGCAGAAAACAATTGAATCATCTGAAGATTTTGTAGGGTAGAATCATTTGGCAGTAAAATGGCAGAAACAAACTCATCTTAAAAGCTGCACAGCCAAACCATACATGATATCAAAAAATGTCTTGAATGTGGGCACTAGAAGGGTCTTAATATAATGTCTCCCAAGTTTCTAGAAAAATGTATAAAGAAATTTTGAAGGGGGGTTCACCTACTTTCCAGAAACATGTCAGGCGTGTTATGAATTAGCAGCAAACAGAAAAGCTTAATTCCTGTCCAGAAAGAGAGCAGAATGAAGCCAAAGTTCACAACATAGGCTGAAAAGTATGAAATTAGCTGAAGTAGAAAAGAAATTACAAAGAAAACTTTAATCTTACCTGGTTGAAGAAAAAATTAGTAGCTTAAGGATGGGAAGTAAAATGTTGAGGACGATGGTATTGAATAAGTATTAACATTTTGAAATCATATGTGGAAATGTCAAGACTTGGCAAAACAATTTGAAATTGTTTAAAATGTGTCGGTTGATCAGCATAGAGAAAACAGTGTCATCCTTAGAGGATTGAAAATCTATAAACCTATGTGCAAGACTGACCATGAGAAGCAGAGGAAGGACAGAGAGAGAAGCTTATAGAAAGAGAGCTAATACCACTTAAGGAGCTGAATTTATAAAAAAATTGAACCTGCATGTTACGAGCCGCTGCAGTGATGAAAGCACCGTTGGCAGGCTTAGGCTGCATGTTACAAGGTTAGCAGATGCTGTATCTCAGTGTAAATCTTAGAACCTGGTTAAGAAATATGCTCTGAGGTCTGTGGTCAACAGGCCTTGGTAGTGTAATTTGAAGAAATTGGTTGAATTTGGGTCATAGCTACAAGCCACACGACACAATGAATGAGTGTGTGTAAGGAAGAGGCTTTCATTTTGTAGAGTCCCTTTAGTCTTATTTTGAAAGTCTATCATG